ACATCAATTAAGCATGTTTTAAACTGTTTAAAACACGTTTAAAACATGTTTTTTACCCTGGTATTTATTAAATTATCAGAATTCATTTATTATCGTGTATATTTATATACAATAATATGCATATTGTTTATTATCAAAATACATATAGAACAAACAAAAATATCTCTGTTAAATTATTATAATTACTAATTATCCTATATATATTTATAAACAAAATACAATAAATGCATTGTCAGAATGTATGTATATAAATATTTGCGGCACTGACTTCCATCCGGACAACATTTACTGAAGTGTATATCTCTTTAGTTGGCTTATTTTACGTGTTTTTACATTTCTCATTCTTTTTACAAAATCGGAAATTGCGTCTTTTAATCGTATCTGTATAATTTTTTATTTGTGTGTGAAGTAACTGAGAGGAGATCTATGAAGAAGGAGGTTAGTCTTTCGGCTAAACAACGAATAGACAATAATTTGGAAAACTTCCAACCAGACAGTAGAGAGGCAATCACCCTCGGTCTCGCATAAATCATGGTTTTAGTACTGCCGTGCGATTTCAACGACACATGTGTGAAAAGAAATATTGCTGAAGATGGTTTGAAGTAAACTGAAACGTCCAAAATTTTTTGAGTCTGTATTAATTATTATTGTTCTTAATATATCATGTGAACACGGTTTGATTTGTACATATGTTAATTGCGCAAAAATTACCGCGCTGTATATAGCTCTCATTGTCCTTAGATTATCATTGTTTTTTATCGTATATAAATATGTTTATCAAACTATATGTGTATATAGCATATAATAAATATAACGTTATCCGACGCAAATTATAGATCGTCTAAATTAAACCTGATACGTATAAATGGAACTTCGTATTTCGCTTCGACGAAAAATAGGTCTCGATTCTTTTTTTTTCTATCTCTTTCTCTTTCAGCAGTTGCAGTAATCTCTCGCCATCAGCTGTCACGTGAGTCCAGCCTGACGTAATCTCTGCCACGAGAGATAAACAATAAACGCGGTGTAGTCGGACACAACACAGTGATACTCACCTTTTATCGCAGCGACCGTAGTCGATCTTCGATGACCGCGTCACCGTCTCCCTGCCTCCGCGACGTGAACGACATGCAGCATCTGGATACCAGTGGTGCAAGTGGAGCAAAACGGAGGGACGCAACCACGGCGTTACATCCCGAGCGCGCGAGATGAACGCGCCGACGTCGCGTCGTACCGTTTGTCAATTCAGCGCTCACGGACGTGCATACGGGATCGAACGAACGAACGAACGAACGAACGAATGTAACGAATAAACGAACGAAAGTAAACACGGTCAGCCGGAGGGACAGACGGACAGCCACGTGATCGCGTCGCGTCGGATCGGGTGGCGTCGTATCTGTTCGTGCAGCTTCCAACAGCCGGCCTTGTCGCGAGGATGGCCGAGGCCACGTTGATTCGGGCGCGCCGTTCCCGAATTCACGCTGGTATGTGTCTTTCCCTCCCCTTTCTCGTCGTTTTGTTCTTATCGAATTATCGGCGCAACCAGCAACCCATCGACGAATCGCGGTCGTCGCGGCGGGCGTGGATAACGTCGCTCGCCAGACGACGACGACGACGGCGATCGTTTGTCGCAGGGCGAGAGGGGCGCGGAGCTACTCCGACGATCTCCGCTGCGGAGGACATCTCGTCGCGAAACTGTCGCAGCGCGACCACGAGCGAACGTTATCGTTCGCGATGGAGCCGACGGAAACGCGATGCGCTGATTGGCGGAACCACCCGCGAACCGTCCGGTTAACGTGTCGGTCACGTGGCGACATCTGACAGCGCGCGTCAGTAAATTGTTCGTATCAAAGGCGCAGGAGACTTGCTCTTCGTGGTAAATTCGATCTCAAGGAAGAATTATAATGTTGTGCAGCGTTTATGGTAAATATACTACGTGTATGCAATGTAAACTATATTTACATGTATGCATTCGTAATAAATGTTTATAAATATAGTATATAGGGTAATAAATACGTAATGAATAATAAATAATATACAATATAATAATTATCTACGTATATAATAAATATATATATAATACATAATATTAAATGGAAATATTTTTATATGTCCTCTTTTTATGCATTTTAATAATAAATAATCTATAGATCATTGACAGATTAAGGGCGACTGTTACCAACGCCGATTAACTTAATCGACGATTAACTCAATCAGTAGTGTAATCAACAGCAAGATGAGCAAGACTGTATATCGTTCTTAACCTCATCTCTTCGTGATATACTTCTATCTCTGCGTTCCTATACTTAATTGTGATAAAAGTAATGAAAATCTCCCACCTATACCTAATAGTAATTCTGCTGATTGAGTTAATCGTCGATTAAGTTAATCGGCGTTGGTAACAGTCGCCCTAAGGGAGTCTCTTACTTTATAGGGGCAAAAAAGTCGACTTTTTTTCCATAAATCGATAGTACAACTCTTCGAGAATATGTCCTTAAAACTTTAGAGCGGAATTCGAAGTCCTTCGGTATAAATTCAGCGCTATGTATATACGAGTGCACGGCGCGCAGGTAAAATAATTAAAAAAAAAATTTTTTTATTATAGTTCTAAAATACTCTTGAAGCCATTCAATTTTTATTCTGGAAAATTTTTTCTATCTCTCATACACTCAGTTCCAAAAAAAAGCGGTACGCTATAAATTTGGGAAAAATTTACTGAATTTCAAATGATCATAACTCGGTAAATAATGAAGATAAAAATATTTTTTAAAAAGCAAAATGAAGCTCGAAATATCCACTTTAAGATTATTTGAATGGAAATTGTACTAGGCCACTATTTTCAAAATGGCGGATGACAAGTAACAACATGCGAAAATGGATAATCAAGGGTCCAACTTTGCGATGGTGCATGATGTGAATTAGGTGTTGCCGTTCAATGGGACAACATGCACGTGAAAGTATAGAATTTTATCTTTAAAATGCTTTTTTACCGACCTCGATACGATAATTTTTCGCTGAGTTATTCCAAATTTAAGATACTGCCGTTATTAGCTTAAATTATGCTTGTAATTTTTCTCAATATAAACTGTATGGAGTTTGATTGGTCGAAACACCACATTGCGTGCGTGCGTGCATGCGTGCGTGTGTGCTTCCATGCAGGCGTGTACGTGTGTGTGTGTGCGCGTGTGTGTGTTGTGGGTGTGTGTGCTCTTAGCGTTATCCAGGATCAACAGCGTGGACGTGACAGGAATCTGATTCCGTGTATGTGCGTGCGCGTGTATGTTTTTGCGCACACGCACGCACGCACGCACGCAATGTGGAGTTCCGACAAATCAAACTCCATACAGTTCATATTGAGAAAAATTACAAGCATAATTTAAGCTAATGACAGCGGTATCTTAAATTTGGAATAACTCAGCGAAAAATTATCGTATCGAGGTCGGTAAAAAAGCATTTTAAAGATAAAATTCTATACTTTCACGTACATGTTGTCCCATTGAGCGGCGACACCTGATTCACATCATGCACCATCGCAAAGTTGGACCCTTAATTATATATTTTCGCATGTTGTTACTTGTCATCCGCCATTTTGAAAATAGTAGCCTAGTACAATTTCCATTCAAATAATCTTAAAGTGGATATTTCGAGCTTCATTTTGCTTTTTTAAAAATATTTTTATCTTCATTATTTACCGAGTTATGATCATTTGAAATTTGGTAAATTTTTACCAAATTTATAGTGTACCGCTTTTTTTGGAACTGAGTGTAATTTCGATATTTGCTTTGAAAGAAAGAAACCGATTTTTTTCGAGAAGGTGTTCCATCCCTTAAACCTCGATATAAGCACCAAAAAATATGAGTCTAATACTTTTTCATGCTCTACAATATATCCAAAACTCATTAAAATCAGTTTCGACGGTTCCCTTGTTTAGTAGCTCATAAGAAGGCCGAGTACCTCGCAGAATGGCTCAAATTGTTTAAAATGAATTCCATGAGGAAGCCGAAGGATTATTGTATACCTCTAAAATAGCCTCCGAGCACTGTAAGTACTCAAGAACTGAACCGAAAACTTTAAACGTATTTTTCTCAAAATCTATTTTTTGCATTTTCTTCAATCTTGTCTACATGATTGAGAAAAAAGTCGATTTAGCCAATCAACTTTTTATAGGGCTCGTTAGTTAACTAATAGTCATTTATCCTCGATAAACCTAAAAAATTAAATAAAAATCAAGATTAACAATTATTTTGCATAAAGAAACGGCTAATGGAAATCGTAACTTTTTTTCAAAGCCGCACAAAATTTTAATTTATATATATATTTTTTTAATTTTTTAGGTTCATTTAGGATAAAATTCTATAAAAATTAAAAATATTTCTTAATATTTGATTTTCGGCAAGAATTACAACCGCTAGGATGTAGACAAAATCGTAACATCGTAGCGAGACGTCAAACTAGATGTTTATATTATTATTATTTATAATACTTTTTTCACATAAAAATTTGTACGTAAAAGTTTTAAAATATTAATAATGATAAATATTAATCTTCCTTTTGAAAAAATTATGAAAAAAATCATCTTTTTTTTGGTCTCCTCTCTAAAGTAGAAGTTTCCCCTTAATATCGTGAAATTCTCTGAATATATTATTGTATAGTTAGATGAAATATGTATTTTATTATTCGAAATATTTTGCAGTTTAATATGCATCAGTGTGCACTAGTGCATTCAATCGAATTCGAATGTGTTTCTTTATCATTGCACTAAAGCGTAAAGCTTTTATCTCGTTTATATATTTTTATCTATCAATACTAAAGTCAAATATTAAAACAATGATAAAATATAATTACTTCTTTCTGTATTATGTTATTTAATTTAAAATAATTTACATATTTTATATATATACATGATTTGTATTGTCTATGTGAAAAAAATTCGTATAAATTTAACGTAAACAATATGTAAAAATTTCATGTAAATGTAATCTTGTTGAAATATACGACACAACTCTGTGTAAATTTTCATAATTATGTTATTTGGTCATTCTTATCCTTCAAGATACTGTGGAGCATATCTGCCATGTTTTTTGAGATAAACTTGGAAGAAGCGCGGAGTAATTCGCAGATGAAGCTGTGGTTCACCAGGCGGTGAGCTAAAACGAGGTCTTTTTCGTCATTCAACTCCTCGTCTCTTAACTCATCATATACACGTGCTATTCCTTCGCGAAGACTCAAAGTGGTATGGAAGAGATCTGCTTGCGACGCAAGCCACGGCAGACAAGTGGATAAAACCGTCTAAATAAAGGACACATTTAACTTTTAGAGGAAGTCCATTTTTTAAATCTTACTGCTTTTCCTTAAATAAAATTTGTTACATGTTTATTATTTCATTATATTTCTTGCCTCAAAATATGAAACTGTTTCAGCACTACTTTAATGGCTTTTCTGGCTTGTAAAGGTCATACGGGACCATCTAATAAACTATAAAAATCAGAAGTCATATTTACATTGCAGCATCGGCTACATTTACATTTCCAATTAAAATTGTATTTCTCATTCATTTTTGCTTTTCGAACTAAAATTCTAATCAATACTAGAAATTTAAAATGTCTATTACGGTCGAAGCTGGATCTTTATTGCTTTAAAATAATTCAATCTTGAATTAGAGGAAAGTTATCGATACTGACATAGGTCTCTTAAAGTGACACCTCCTTATTTTTCGGAAATTAACGATTGCACTTTATTAATACTAATAAAATCATGATCTGTTTAGCTAATTAAAGAAGTACAAACTCATAATTCGTAGGTGGCTTGTTTCTACGAGTATATCAAATCAGCTAAAAACGAATTCTACAATTGCGAAAATAAAATTCTACGATTTTCTTTTGCAAATTGTGAGGTTTAAATAATAGTGACTATATTATTGATAATATTACGTCATTTTAAATACTTGTAGTTTCCGAAATAAGTTTTATATTTATATTATTTTTTCTCTTAATCTTTTCATAATACGATTTTTAATTTAAAATTGGGGTGCAGCGTAAACCGACACACCTGTCCGTAAAACAGACCATGAGCTAACTTAATCTTTATAATGTTGCTTTATAGTGTCAAATAAGTCTATTGGAGCTGAAGGCAATCGTGCATATATGGAACGACTCTAGAAAAACTATCGCGTTACATATTTGCATCTTGCAGAACAGCATAAAGTAAATATGCATATAATTCAATAAAAATGTTTTATAACGAAGTAAAATGATTCTGAAAAATCTTATATACATTCACTTATAGGTACTTTATACAGATAATTCCTGTAAAAGAAAAATAATAGGAATACGTAGCATTACTGCCTACAGTTTTGGAGCCCATTTTGTCAGACGCTCATTTTTGCATAACTTACGAAAAACTTTATTATTGCTAAATTGCAAATAGTATTATAAAAATTGTTTATACTATCTTATAGAAGACACTTTTTATTTTGTATTTATGTTTTTGAAGTTGTATTTTTACCTTTTGTTTAAGAAATATTGTTTAAAAACAAAGTGATATATCGGTATCAGTGACCTTCTTCTACTAATAATATATACTGTATATGTATTTGCATATATACCATATTGTAGTCTTTTCAAACTACGCGTCGAATTGTTTTTTCGGATTATAAACAGAATTTTAAATTCGAGAATAAATTATTTTAAAGCAATGTGTGTGTGTGTGTGGAAGATCCAGGTTCGACCGTAATAGGCATATTAAATTTCTAGTATTGATTGTGTTTCTCACATATGCGGTCTAAAATAAAGATTCTTAATATTGTTTAAATTCTAATATTTAAATTAAAGTGAAAAATTTATTTTTCCTTTGAATAAACCCTTACTCGTAATTTTTTTATTCGTGGAAGCAAATGAAAAAATTTACCAGGCAAACATCCCGCGGCAGCCAAAAGATCACTCTTTCGTCCTGCTGTATCTTTTTATGATCTTCGAGCGTTTCGTCTCCGATTGGCGAGAGAGTGCGCTTATGCTCGTATTCGTCACTGATCGTCGATGGGTTTTCTATAACTAGATGTTCTGCTATCACTTCCGGTAGCAAAAGCTCAACCGGATCTACCTCGCCTTGTCCATTCAACTGTTGAATCATTACCCGGCGTTTCGAACTTAAGTCATGATCGCAGGATTTCTCCAACAAAACAACAGTCTCTGTCGTTTTGTTTATTATATAATTCATAATTTCTCGTACTATCTGGAACCGGATATATCGCTATTTATATTACAAGAATTAAGGTTATTTCTTTTTAATGATCTTTAAAAGAAAATATATTCATTTTATTTCCCATTTTGCAACATATAAATACAGAACTTTTATACTAAACCCACGTATAATTTCTTATAAATATTTTGTTATAAAATTACTTATTCAAAAAAATCTTTAAAATATTCTGTTTTAATCCGAAACAATATATTTAATATATTTATAATACTATACATTTATACTATTTATAGTAAAAAATATCTACAATATAATTGCCTGGTAAACCACAACTTTATCTGCGAATTACTCCGCGCTTCTTTCAAGTTTATCTTGAATTAATTTAACTTCAATATAGAGTGTAAAGGTTCCAACAAGGAATCATTATCCTCTCTTTTCTTTCTCTCTTACAGTTTATTTTATTTGTGTCTAATTATTATTCTCTCTTCACACACACACACACACACACACACACACACACACACACACACACAATTCTTCATTTATTTCATCGCAAACGTAATAAGTTGATTGCAAATGATATTGACTTCGTAAATCAGTATTAGTGTGAGTTTCAAGTTACCTCGTTAGCCTCCTCTCGAAGATAATCTCGGCTCAATTTCAACTCCTTAACACGGCGCTTCTGCTCGCTAAGATCTTCGACGTATTTCTCACCTTCCACTGTATCAGTACAAACTCTAGCACCCATGGCAAGGGAGAACGCTTTTCCCAGTCCTTTGCTAGGATTCTCGTTCTTGCAGAAAGCTAGCAGCATGGCGGTATAATGAACCGAGTCTCGGTTTACCAGATACATGCGGCAGAGAAGTTCCTTTGCCAGCATCAGCCTCAATATTACGCTGCGAAAGCAATTTAATCAAAAAATTTATTGAAAAAGAGAAATGTAAGAATTGACTTAAAAAGCATTGTTCAGAAAGTTTTTTTAATCAAAAATGTTTAATGGAAGGCACAATTAATTGAAAGAGATTAATCGAATCGTTCATGAATGAAAAATTAAAATAGACTTTTAAAAAAACTTCAAATCAAATCAAAATTTTTAATAAAGAATGTTTTAACGAATTGTTTTCGAACGGATTTAATCCCTTTTAATTTTCTGCTTCATAAATTTTTAATTCGTTTAATTTGTGTTTTCCATATACCTAGAATCATCCTCGCTTCTTTCTATGAAATCGTTCCCCAAACTCGAAAAATGTTCGCCTAATTGTGCTTCCTTGCGCAACATTATGTTCTCTAATGTATCGAAATTACTGTGATCAAGCTTTTCATCCAAGAAACTCTTGTAAAGGGTGGAAATTTCAAGAAACCACAAGGATATCGAATGGAATTGTTCGCATGTGACCACCTCTTTCGATTCAGGATCATGCACCTTGAAGGCTGCTCGTGCTTTCAGAATATCCTGATGCAATGGCACAGGCAGATCCATTGCATACAAGACAAATTCTCGCCATTCGATATATTCGGTGGAGCCGAACAATCGTTCGACCAATATTTCGATATCCGGAGGTCGCAATTGTCGCCAGGCGCATGGCACGAAGGGTGGATAACAATCCTCTTTGCCGCAGGATACCAAATCCTGGAGAATGTAAACTAGGGCGCGTTCACTGACGATTCCATGCGGAGCGATTCGTTGGAAAATGTCTATCAACCGTCCAAGTTGAACCATTCGAAATCGTAGAGGTGAAGGCGCTTCTCTGATCAAGACATCGAATTGTTCGTGATCTTTACTTACAATGTTTGGTCTCATGACAAATCGATCGCCGTTTAATAGTAGTTCTTGTTGAATCGGTCTTTCTTCTTCGATGGCAAAGCAAAATACGTTCGCCATTTCGTCAATACTTTCGATTTCACGTTTGTATCTAAAAATATACGTAATTATGCACATTATATATATCTAATTTTTAAAAGGCAATATGATACTATAACTAATGTTAGAAATAAAAAGTAACTAATTAGAAATAATTAGATATATAAGAAGCTAGTTTTTAAATCTAAATAATATTTTCGTTTATAAAGTATTTATAAAAAGCTTCGTGAGATGTTTTAACATTAAAAAATAAATTAAATTATAATCTTCAACTTGTAATTAAACGAGTAAATAATTGATTCTAATAAAATAATTTATTTATATATCAAATATATTTCCACGAAAGTAATTTAATTAATGCATTCGTTTTGCGATCTCATTAACTTGCTAAATAAAAGACTAATGTGATAACTAATTCTAACTAAATCAACCTTTCGACGATATGATGATGAATGCGATGGAAGGTCTGTCTCATAGTATCCAGAAGAAAAGTAATGTCTGATCGAGCAGCCGCATTCAGCACATCTAATCTCTGATGTATACGATCGATTTCGAACAAAACGGCGTATCGCCATTCCTCGATTAAATCACGATTTCTTCTAACTAGTTTGGCGAATGTAGAATTGGTCGAAGTGTCTCCTTTGCTTTTAATTTCGGTTTTTAAAATTACAGCTTTCTCTTCCTTCTTCAACATCTCCAGCATCAGGAACGAGATGGAGTCTACGGTATCTCGCACTTTGTCGAACATTATCTTTTTGATAATATTATAAATAATACTCTGATCAGGATCAAAGCTCTTCGATACGTCGATTAATAAAGTTTCGATTTCAGTCTTAAACTGATCCTTATTTATGATTCGAGCGGAAGTTTCGATTGATTCGATCTTCGCCGTTAGTTTTTTATGTTTACCCAAGATTTCTTGAAGAACATCCTCCAATTCGATATTATCGAGGACGATTTTAGAGAATCGCGATTCTTGCAGTGGTTTCTGCGACATGGAGATGTAATAATCCTGAAGAAGCTGCATAGTGTCGACGAATCTATCAACTTCGGTTTGCAAAATTCCAATATACACATTAACGAGAACCACGGCTTCCATCAAAATCCACTGATTGCGCAAAGTACGTTTTCTCTCTTCTTCAGCCTCGTATCTTCGTGCGTCACACAGCTCCCACAACTCTTTTCGAAAATCATCGACCTAGCGCAAAAAATTTAAGATTTTTAACAACGAAAAGAGCAATAAATGTAATTCTTTCTATATCCTGTCGAAGTAAAAAAAATTTACATTGAAATTAAATTAAGATTATCTATTAAGCTTTATAGGATAGAAAAGCCATTATAATGGCGGAAACAATGTCATATCTTGAAGCAAGAAATACAATGAAAAATAATTAATTATAACAAATCTTACTCAAAGAAAATTTAAGCTGTAAAATTTAAAAAATAAACTCCGTCCTTTAAAGGTTAATATGAATAAAAACTTATAGATTATATCAAATTTTCTGAGATCTCTTTTTCCTCACTTCTTTACTATATTATTATTTTTTATGCATACCCGACAGTGTAATTCGCATTTCATGTCCAAATCTTCCCTAAGATCTTCATCGATTTCATTAAAGGCCTGATGAAAATCTTGCAATAAAATCTGCCGTTTATCAGGTTGATCAATGAATCTCATTAAATTCCTGAAGACAAGATTCTTATAAGGTATAATAGCTGACATATGCATTCTCTTTAAGGAAAGAATCTCTTTCAAATTTTCAATGTAAGCTTGTTCAACGTTCTCCCAAAGCGTAGCCAAAATTTCGAGTAAAGCTGTAGGCTGAAAAAAGTCCAGCCATTGCCAGTTGCTTTCCCCAGGTTTAGCGTAATCATTTGCTAACTGTGTTTCAATTTCCGATTGTAAATCGCGGCTTTCAGCTTCGATATCTTTCTTTTCTTCGTATTCTGAGAGTTTCCATTTGGATTTTGGTATCAAGCGTTTAATGACGGACGTTTTCGAATCAATAACAATTTTTTGTTTATCGTGATTCGCTTGTAGAACCTTTTCAGAAAGTTTCAAGGGTGATTTCTTTCCATAAAAATGATCGGTAATAAGTTCGGCTAATTGTTCCAAGGTTGGAAGATCGAGAACGTTGTAAAAAAATCCATATGCAATATCTTGATTAGCATAAAATTCGTCCATCGAGGTAGCATTGTCGGGTAGAGGTATACAAGTCTGTTCTTGTCTGTCTATTGCCTCTGACTTTGGCATTGCCTTAATATAAATTGTCATGAACGTCGTAGAAAAAGTATAATCTTTTGCTTTGGAAATTGGGTTCGGCAACAATCTAGATTGCCTGTTAAAAGTACATTAACTTTTAGAAAATCTGTATAACGCAATTATTAATAATTCAATTTAAATGAGCTTTAACCCTTTCAGACCTGATTTTATTGAAATTATGTTAAAAAACTTTCTTTTAATTCAGTTTATGCGTACTTAAATTTAAATAAATAATTCATACTAAACAATTAATTTTTTTCAAAATTTTGACTATTTTTCCAACATATAGCTTTTTATATACATTATTATATACGTCAGATCTCAAATGTCGATAGAATTAAATAATTTCAATGGATGATGCCTTCAAATTGGATGTATGCTGAGTCTGAAGGGATTAATTGAAAATATTAGCTGTTAAACTTAATTCCTGCCATTTTTAATCTCCAAAATTGATTTG